GCCTGGGGAGAGAACTGCTCCTGCTTCAGAACCCAAGTGGGTGTCTGAAATCTGTTCCTCTCCCCCAGCTGCACACTGCTGAGGAAGCCAGTGCCAGAGGTGGTCAGAGACTGCTCTGTAGAATCTGAAAAGGACAGGCTGAGGGATGGCAGGAGGTGGTGAGTGCAGGAGAAACAGCCTCTGCTACTCAGGTAGGAAGCGGGAAGAATGTTCAGGGCCTTGAAAAGAGGGCCATGTGGCATATCAGATGCCAGGCCCTGGGAGTGTGGCCAAATTCCTCCATCACCTCCTGCCAGTCCGTAAAAATATCTTTGAAAAATCCAGAGCTAAACATGAGCCTCTTCACTGTCTCGCTGGGCAGTTACGTTTTGCAAATACCTTCTCACTTCCATCCCTCCGTAAGGTAGACAAAGCCTTGGATCCGTAATGGGTTTGGAAGTTTCAGATGCCAGTGGAAATGATAGTGGTGCAGGGTAACTGCAGGAGGTCCATGAAGGACATGAGCAATGGTTTCTCTCCAAAGCATGATTCATCACTGGGAAGAAAGACAGTTCTTTCTCTTCGTGTGACCTCCTTGGGCTCAGAGTGAGTGGGCTGGTTTGCGGAGGGGAGGGGCAGTGTGATGCTGGCATGTCAGGAGATCTGGACATACTGGTTTCTGAACTAGGATCAGGATCCCCTTAGGTTTCTGGCTCTGTCTGTGTTGTCTAGAGGACTGAGGGACATGGAGAGACGTCCCTGGACTGTTGGGAGTCAGGCATAGATAATAGATGAGCCTGTCATCCTACTGCAGCTCTTCCTGGCACCTCCCACCCCCCCACCCACCCTAGGATGGTGTTTATTATGCCCACTTTATAGGCCAAGAAACTCAGATGCAGAAAGTTTCAGAATTTACCCATGGTCACGTGGTTAGTTCTTGCAGAGCCACAACTTGAACACAAGTCCGATAGACCCCAGAGCCCACACTGTTTCAACTATAAAGTGACTCGTGTGCAGAAAGGGGTAGGCTGGAGAATCTCTACTTAAGGTGATTGTCTAGGGGAGCCATTGATGACCATAGAGGAGAGGAGTGGCATGGTTAAAGCAGTGTTCAACCGGGAACTTCCATCAGGCAGTCAGGACAGGGGTGAATTGTTGGGATGCTCAAGTCCAGAGTGGGAATTACCCCCGACCCATGGGGAAAATAACAGTGATGTCGATTTGTTGACTACTTGATATTTGATGGCTACCGACCCGGATGCTTTTCTACAAGGAGGTCATTAAATCCTTTCAGCTCAACAAGGAAGTGCAATCATCACCAACAGTATAGTGCAGGACTAAAAAGCTTGGAATCTCGAAGGCAGGCAAACCTGATTCCCTGCCTGTATGACCCTGGAAGAGTCACTCTGCCTCTGAGTCTCTTTCTTCATTTGTATGACAGGGATCATGCTAGGACCCGTTTAGGAAGGTGGTTGGGGGTAGGATTAAATGAGATACTACACTGAAAGCGTTGAGCCACACAACTCTCATAGGCATGTTAACTAGTATAATTATTGACATTGCCATACCCATTGTACAGATGTGGAAACTGAGTCTTAGAAAAAGCAAAGTGATTTTTTTCCCAAGGCCCAGTTAGCATCGGTACCTGGACAGCATGACCCCAGAAGTTACATTGTTGCCCATCCTGGGGAGAAGACCCTAATGGGGATTGGAAGAGAGTAATAGAAGAGATTCGGCCTGAACTAAAGCACTGCAAGACCAGGGAGTAGGAATGGCACAGGCAAGGAGCTTGCACATATTTTTACATAGACGGCTGTGCCAAGTAAGCTCTTGGATAATGAACTGCCATCCCTATAATTATCTTCTCTTTCACAAAGTTCACAATGCATCTATGCCCTCCTCCCCACATGGAGAGTTAGATAAGCCTGCACTTGCTTACCGCTCTGCTCTGTGCACAAAGCCGCTCGTGGATACAGTAACGTCTGGCTCATAGCACATGGAGCAGGGGTGCGGGAGCATCCCAGACACCCCCCCCCCAGCTAGCACCTGTCCACGAATTCCGATTATCCCTAGGAAGTGTGTATATATGGATCATCTCAGAGATCCTTTTTATTGGGTTCTGACCGTGCCCTTAGCATCTGCCCTCCTGAGATCTTTCTCCATTCCTCGTGTGCTCAGTGCAAGAAGATGCTGATCCCTTTGCCTTTTGCAGTCCTAATGTGACTCTGGTCAGCAGCTTCCTTGGAGGCATCTTTGCTCCATGGGAATTATTACATTTCCTTGGTAATTAAGTTTGGAGATTCTCAGTCCCATCCCAAGAAACACCTGGCAGTGCATAAGGTTGTTGGGTATAACTGCCTTGAGATTTGACTTCTGTGCCTTCGCCCATTGGTGGGTTCGTTATGTTGTTGCTGTTTTTGGTATTTAATGAGGTTGTATGCACAGCTGTTGAGGCTTAGAGGACCTCTTTCTTCCTTTTCTGATCAAGAAATGTCCCCCTCTCTCTATTTCAGACATTGGATGGAGGAGTGGTAGGTTGGTGATGTTGAACGATTTTATTTTCTGGACATGACATTGAAGAGCCATAAAAAAAAAATACAACCTCAGACACTGAATAATTCTGTTTTGCTTTATGTTTAAGCCAAGGACATTCCTCTTAGACTTCATTCACACATTCATTCACTCACGCGTTCCATCCCCCTGCATTTCCCGATGTGTCATGTTCCAAGCCTTCTGCCTGGTTCTGGGGACAGGTGAGGACAGCAGTACCTCTGCCCTTGAGCCATTCGTAGTCTCGTTGAGACGTGATTTAAAACGATTAATCAATCCAAGACTATTGGATTTCTCCAAAAACTATTGTAGGGAAAAAGATAATTATCCAAAGTCTTTAAATCTGTTACCCATTTTAAATGATTTAATTAGGTAAAATTCATAAAACTGTATTGTTGGAAGGGACCCAGAGGCATTTATTCCCATTTTTTGTTCCCTCTCTGCCTTCAGGCCGTACTGCACTTGAATTATCCCCCAAACCCATGCATTTCAGAAAAGGGAAGTGTTTCGAAGAACTACAACTTTTGGCCCATTCAGATAAAACTTTCTATTCACTGAGCACCCACAGGCAAAACTTGGCAGACTTCTTGAAAGGGTTGGCATGCACGGCTACAAAGTGTTGTTTTGAAAGACAAATGGAATCGATTGTCCACTCTTAACACACACACACACACACACACACACACACACACACACACACACAATGGAACCTCCATATTCCTACCATTGAGGTGAATGCATATGGTAACTACAGAATGCAAAATGAAAGCATGGCTGCACTATAAGGACTTCTGCAGAAGTTTCCAGGGAAAGAAAACCATAGCTCAGCACTTGTCAAATTGTGTTTTCCTCTAACACACAGGCATACCTTCTCTTTTGCTGGCATTTTTGCACCTTGCCTACCAGTCAATAGCATGGTTTAAGCACCTGCTATCTGCAGATCTTCAGTGATCCCAAGAAAGTTGGGGCTGTGTTTTGGAAAGGGGGCTGGCCACGGAACCAGAGCCTGAGTTCATCTGGAGCCTCATTTCCCCCCCTGCCAACACCACCACCTTTGTAGGATCATCATGGGGATCTTATGAATTAAGGGGTGTGAAGGTAGTTTGTAAATGGTACAGCTGTATGCACTGCCTGCCTTTTCTAAATGGAAGTTTGTTTTCATGATCAGATCATGACTAAGGGGGGTGTTAGAACTATTAGAGGCCCTTGGGGCATCTGGGTGGCTCAGTCGGTTAAGCGTCTGCCTTCGGCTCAGGTCATGATCTCAGGGTCCTGGGATTGAGCCCTAGTTAGACTCCCTGCTCAGCCAGGAGGTCTGCTTCTTCCTCTCCATCTGCCCCTCCTCCCTGCTCATGTTCTCTCTCTCTCTCCCACTCTCTCTCAAATAAACTCTTTCTTTTTTTTAAAAGAACTATTAGAGGCCCCTTAACCTCACACAATTTGCCACGTCACTTTCAAGAGTAAGAGCATTCAGCGGCTCCCCCTTATGCTTGAATAAGTTCTAAGCCTCTGAACATATCCCTGAGACCACACATGATGGGGTTCCTGCCAGGCTCTTCACCATCATCTCATCCCCCCTACTTCATGAGCCATAATGCATTTATCTCTGGCTCCTAGAATAGTCTAGATGTATCTGCAGGACTCCTCTGGGGACAGTGTCCACCCGTTTCCCTTCTTCCTCACCTGGACACTCCTTCAGCATCCCCTTATACTTCTCTTAGCCTCTAGTCCCTGCAAATTGCTCTTCCTCAAATTCCCACCAGATTTACAAAGGCAGAGACCATGTCTGTGTCTGTCTTGTATATCATTGTTTCCCCAAGTCCTAAAATGGTGTTGCTGTGTAGTTAGGGGTTCAACAAATATTTGTTGATTCAGATAGACATGCAGATAGAATGTCCAGTTAGCATTTATTATACTTTATATTATACAGGAGTCTGGAGTCCGAATGACAGAAATCCTTTCCAGACTAACTCACACGATCATGGGAACTTGTTTGCTTACATAATCACCAGGTCCAGAGTAAATGGCTTCAGGCACAGCTGACTCTGGGTGCTTCAAGTGCGTCATCAGGACTGTGTCTCTATGTCCTGATGTTGTCTCTGTTGGCTTCATTTCCCAGTTCTGAGCCTGGGGCCAGATAGAATTCATTGTGTTGAAACCATATGGGCCCCAAAGGGCAGGGGGGAAATGGGATAAGCCAGAAGCAGAAATAATAGATCTCCTTCATGCACCAGGCTGTGGGCTCCAAGTTCAGGGTCTCTCTCCTCTCTGTATTTCCAGTGTCTGTTCCAGAGTGTAGCATATAGTAGGTGCTCAGGAATGTTCTCGAATGAATAGGTGTGTGATGTATTTGCCCTCCCTTCTAAGAAGGCATTTTTTAAGCCTATAAAGACAGATGGTTATATATAAACCGCCTTCTACCTCATCCTCTGTTTTGCTTTTTTTTTTTTTTTTTTTACATCTGTTGGCAGGATCCGACGTCAACCTTCTTCCAGTTTGGAGCGTCCATCCAGCAACAAGCCACGGTCATGCTGAAGATCATGCAGGATTACGACTGGCACGTCTTCTCCCTGGTGACCACCATCTTCCCTGGGTACAGAGACTTCATCAGCTTCATCAAGACCACCGTGGACAACAGCTTTGTGGGTTGGGACATGCAGAACGTGATCACCTTGGACACTTCCTTTGAGGATGCAAAGACGCAGGTCCAGTTGAAGAAGATCCACTCTTCTGTCATCCTGCTCTACTGTTCCAAAGATGAGGCTGTCCTTATCCTGAGTGAGGCCCGCTCCCTGGGCCTCACTGGCTATGATTTCTTCTGGATCATCCCCAGCTTGGTTTCTGGGAACACAGAGCTCATCCCAAAGGAGTTTCCATCAGGACTCATTTCAGTCTCCTACGACGACTGGGACTACAGCCTGGAGGCAAGGGTGAGGGATGGCCTGGGCATCCTCACCACTGCTGCATATTCCATGTTGGAGAAGTTCTCCTACATCCCCGAGGCCAAGACCAGCTGCTACGGGCAGACGGAGAAGCCGGAGGCCCCACCACACACCCTGCACCAGTAAGAGTGCGATCTTTGCTTGTCTCCCAAAATGGGACCTGAGTTTCATTTGTTTGTTTGTTTGGTTGGTTGGTTGGTTGGTTGGTTGGTTGGTTGGTTGTTCGAAAACTCAGAGCAATGCATATATACTCCCTGCTGAAAACGGGCCCTGCAAGTAGAGAATGTTGTGTGTGTGCTTATGGGATTTTCTCTCATTGACTCTCTTCTCCTCTCTTCCCCTGGACTCCTCTTTTGTTTATAACTTACATCATACTTTGTTTTCTGCAACTTTCTTTTTTTACTCAACAATATACCTTGGAAACCTACTCTCGAGACCTGTCTATGTATCCATCTATGTATCTCTCTATCCATATTTTATATGCAGATAAATACACATGTATGGATGTGTGTACATAGATGTACATATGTATGTTTACATACATATACACAGACATGTAGGAAGGAATGTAGATATGTATGTATGTGTAGATATACATAGGCGTGTGTGTGTGTGTTGCAACCTACGCATTGCATTTCTCAATAGGGATATACCATGATTTATTTATCCAGTCTCCATAATGATAGAAATCCAGGTTGTTTCAGATTTTTTCCCATTAGAAATGAAGCTGCAGTGATCATCATCCCACATGTCTCTTTGTGCACACAGAGCCCATATTTCTCCAGGGTAGATTCTAAGAAGTAGAAGTTTGGGGTCACAGAGCCCGTGCATTTAAGAATTGAAGTATCTGTTGCCAAATTGTCCTACCAAGGAACTATCCCAATCTGTATTCACACAAGCCACTTGTGAAGTCACTAGATTTCCCACATCCTCACCAACATGTTACACTTTGGGAAGACTGCCCACGCTGGGGCTTCCATCCTCTGTTTGAGTGTGTATCTGAATTTCTTCCCTTCTTTTGTCCTGTTTTTGTAGATCATTGGAAATCTTGGCAAATACCACTTTTAAAACGACATTACAGTCCATCGTATGTCTGTATCCTAATGTATTTAACTGCTCCCATCTTGGTGGGCATTTAAGTTTTATGTTTCTGAGAAATGTTATTGTTCTTCGTGGCTCATCATTGTGGCTCAGCTGTTGACATTTAGAATGATCACTCCTGCACCCACTTTGCATGCTTTTGCCTGCTGTTCGGTGATTGAATCCACGCTCCTTTCTCAGATAACGAGCAGCATAGCTCCGTGATGAAGGGCCGGGGCTCCGGAAGTAGATTTGTCGGGGTTCAGATCTTGTCTTGTCCACTTCCTGTAGGCCTTGGCGCATCACTTTACCTTTCTAGGCCTTGGGGGTTTACTGTAGAGTGATGATAATAGCACTACTCCCTCTAGGTGGCGCTTGGCAAACTTGAGCATGCATCAGAATCACCTGTAGGGTGATTTGTTAAACCACAGGTGGCTGGGTTTCACACTCAAGAGTCTGTAATCCAGTCGCCCCGGGGGCGGGCTCCCAGAATTTGTCATTCCAGCAGGTTCCTGGGTGATGCTGATATTGCTGGTCTGGGGATCGTGCACCGAGAACCAATGTTTTGTGGATTGACCTCAGTATTAAATGAGGTGATGCTGGGAGAGTACTGTGTAGCACAGTGCCTGGCACCCGGTGATTATTGAATGACTGTCAAAATGACCAGTGAAGTGGCTGTGGTCATCAGAACTTACAGTCAGCAGACTAGGTTGGGTTTATTATCACCAGAGTAACACGTCACTCTCCAATGTGTCTGGAAGGTTTAGGAATTTGAATCTGCTACAGTTCAGGGATTTTCTCTGAGCTGAGTCTGGAGACATTGTGTGTGTGTGTGTGTGTGTGTGTGTGTGTGTGTGTGTGTGTGTGT